GAGACGGGGTATCCATATATAGCCCAGGCTGGCCTTGAACTCCCAGTCTTCTTATTTGTTTAATTACAGGACATAGGTTTTGCTTCATTAGTCAAGTATTCTAAATCTGAGACTGTGTGCCTCCCTCATGGAACTCCGCAGATATAGGGAACATCAGACTGCTCTCTGCCAACCTGTCCACTTCTTTGACTCCTCCTGCAGGCTCGTTGCCTGACCAAACTCCTGTTCATCCTTTAAACTCAGATTCATATTGCTTCTTCTGGGAAGACTTTTTTTTTTTTTTCATTTTTCTTTTATTATTCATATGTGCATACAAGGCTTGGTTCATTTCTCCCCCCTGCCCCCACCCCCTCCCTTACCACCCACTCCACTCCCTCCCGCTCCCCCCTCAATACCCAGCAGAAAGTATTTTGCCCTTATCTCTAATTTTGTTGTAGAGAGAGTATAAGCAATAATAGGAAGGAACAAGGGGTTTTGCTGGTTGAGATAAGGATAGCTATACAGGGAGTTGACTCACATTAATTTCCTGTGCGGGAGTGTTACCTTCTAGGTTAATTCTTTTTGATCTAACCTTTTCTCTAGTTCCTGGTCCCCTTTTCCTATTGGCCTCAGTTGCTTTAAGGTATCTGCTTTAGTTTCTCTGCGTTAAGGGCAACAAATGCTAGCTAGTTTTTTAGGTGTCTTACCTATCCTCACCCCTCCCTTGTGTGCTCTCGCTTTTATCATGTGCTCATAGTCCAATCCCCTTGTTGTGTTTGCCCTTGATCTAATGTCCACATATGAGGGAGAACATACGATTTTTGGTCTTTTGGGCCAGGCTAACCTCACTCAGAATGATGTTCTCCAATTCCATCCATTTACCAGAGAATGATAACATTTCGTTCTTCTTCATGGCTGCATAAAATTCCATTGTGTATAGATACCACATTTTCTTAATCCATTCGTCAGTAGTGGGGCATCTTGGCTGTTTCCATAACTTGGCTATTGTGAATAGTGCCGCAATAAACATGGATGTGCAGGTGCCTCTGGAGTAACAGTCTTTTGGGTATATCCCCAAGAGTGGTATTGCTGGATCAAATGGTAGATCGATGTCCAGCTTTTTAAGTAGCCTCCAAATTTTTTTCCAGAGTGGTTGTACTAGTCTACATTCCCACCAACAGTGTTAGAGGGTTCCTTTTTCCCCGCATCCTCGCCAACACCTGTTGTTGGTGGTGTTGCTGATGATGGCTATTCTAACAGGGGTGAGGTGGAATCTTAGTGTGGTTTTAATTTGCATTTCCTTTATTGCTAGAGATGGTGAGCATTTTTTCATGTGTTTTCTGACCATTTGAATTTCTTCTTTTGAGAAAGTTCTGTTTAGTTCACATGCCCATTTCTTTATTGGTTCATTAGTTTTGGGAGAATTTAGTTTTTTAAGTTCCCTGTATATTCTGGTTATCAGTCCTTTGTCTGATGTATAATTGGCAAATATTTTCTCCCACTCTGTGGGTGTTCTCTTCAGTTTAGAGACCATTTCTTTTGATGAACAGAAGCTTTTTAGTTTTATGAGGTCCCATTTATCTATGCTATCTCTTAGTTGCTGTGCTGCTGGGGTTTCATTGAGAAAGTTCTTACCTATACCTACTAACTCCAGAGTATTTCCTACTCCTTCTTGTATCAACTTAAGAGTTTGGGGTCTGATATTAAGATCCTTGATCTGGGAAGACTTCTCTGACTTTCTAGGCTAGGGTTGGGTGGTCCTCCTCTGTAGTCTCATGGTCTCATCTATGAACTTGAATCAAAATGTTTTTCACATATGTGTAATTGGTCGTGGTCGGGGCCATGGAGCTCATGGAGGCAAGGCCGAAGATAAGGAGTGGATCCCTGTCACCAAGCTGGGCCGCCTGGTCAAGGACATGAAGATCAAGTCTTTGGAGGAGATCTATCTTTTCTCCCTGCCCATCAAGGAGTCTGAGATTATTGACTTTTTCCTGGGGGCGTCCCTCAAGGATGAGGTCTTGAAGATCATGCCTGTGCAGAAGCAGACTCGGGCTGACCAGCGCACCAGCTTTAAGGCATTTGTAGCCATTGGGGACTACAATGGTCATGTCGGGCTAGGTGTTAAGTGTTCCAAGGAGGTAGCCACTGCCATCCGAGGTGCCATCATCTTGGCCAAACTCTCTATTGTCCCTGTGCGGAGAGGCTACTGGGGGAACAAGATTGGCAAGCCTCATACTGTCCCATGCAAGGTGACAGGCCGCTGTGGTTCTGTGCTGGTGCGTCTCATCCCTGCCCCCAGGGGCACTGGCATCGTGTCGGCTCCTGTGCCCAAGAAGCTACTGATGATGGCTGGTATTGATGACTGCTACACTTCAGCCAGGGGCTGCACTGCCACCCTGGGCAACTTTGCTAAGGCCACCTTTGATGCCATCTCCAAGACCTACAGCTACTTGACCCCCGACCTCTGGAAAGAGACCGTGTTCACCAAGTCTCCCTATCAGGAATTCACTGACCATCTTGTGAAAACCCATACCAGAATCTCTGTGCAGAGGACCCAGGCTCCAGCTGTGGCTACAACATAGGATTTTTTAAAAAATATAAAAATAATAAAGTGAAAAAAAAAGTTTTTCACATATGTGTAATTACATCAATTATATGTATAATTCATCAATTAAAAATTGTTCTACCACTGAGCTACACCCCAGCCCTAAGAAATATATTTAACAGACATGGTGCATTGCATAATAATTTCCTATGATACAGTTCTCTAATATCAAAGAGAACACTTCTGTGTCTGTAGCCCCGTGAGAGCACGAGCCGTATCTATCTTGCCATTGGTTAATTATACCTTGGACGTAGAAGGGCTCGGTATATCTTCTTTTAAGAGTAAAGATGAAAGCTCCTAGTTTTAGCTTTTCACTTTTATCTCCCTAGCTTTTAACCCATTTCTGGCTCTTGACTCCTTTTTCATCCCGCATTCCTGGGCTCACTCTGTTTACTGCTGCACTGATGACGCTGATGCCTCGCCCTGGTCTGCCCCCATTTTTCATGCACATACTTTCTTTATCTAGATGCTGTTGTTGCCTTTGATCATGGTTATGAGGCTGGCCTGGAACTCCTGCTCTTCCTGCCTCAGCTTCCTGAGTGCTGAGATTACAGGCATGCACCATCATGCCCGGCTCATTGACTTAGGCTTCTGACATAGGAGGAAGACTGTAAGAAACATGGTGCTGGGCCTGGGATGTGCTTCAAAGTCCAAGTTTTGCTGGAATTAATGTTACTGTTTTGTTTTCCACGTTAGCCTGCTTTCTGACACTTGATGGTGGCTTCCTTGTTTTGCTCATATACAACGGACCCTCCGTTTGTATCTGCCATCTTGTTCCTGTGACTTCATGGGTTTTGAGCTGTCACTGCCAAGGTCAACCTTAACTTCACCCCTGGCTCTCTTTTGGCCACAGGCCCCTGGGTGCTACTGGGTTTGGCCCCTCCTCTCCCCTCCTTCCTGTTGTTTATCTGGCTTCCTTGCCCATAATTGTGGTCTACAACTGCTCTTGGTGAGAGCCCTGAGGACTCCAAATAACCAAGTTGTTAAAACTCAGGGAAATGTCAACACGTCAATGCCAGGTTGAATTGCAAGCAGGTCATCTGTGGATAGCCCTAGCAATTGATCTTGCTTTTTAGTTTCTTTTTTTTTTTTTTTTGTCTCTTGGAATTTAGATTTAATCTCTCTGATCCATAAACTTGGGTGCTGTCATACCTTGGTAGTCATGGATCTAGCCAGTGATGACAGCATAGAAAGTTAGAGTTGGTAAAGCAGTCAGGAGAGAGCAGTACTTCCCATTTTACAGATAAAGAAGCTGAGACCTCAGAGAGGCCAAGTAGGCTTGCCTATGCCTTCTGCCTCACTCCTTCTATGGGAGTGATTGGGTTTATGGATGACACTGCAGCACAGGGTGCTGAGTGTTAAGTACTTTGATCTGAGTGTTACTGGGGGCTGGCAAGGTATGCAAGACACACCAACCACTTAGGTAAGTAAGCATGTTATTTTGTTTTACTTGTTAATTTGTTTACTCAAATTAAACAGCATTGGATTCAGATGATATTGTTTTCCTTGTTAATAATAAATGGCTCACACTTACGAGCGTTTCCTTAGCACGCAGCATCCTCAGCACCTCATAGAGCTCATGAACTAGACACCGATGACACGGGGGCGGAATTACATTAAGTCATTTGCCTAAGGTCACATCGCTGCCTAATGTACCGACTTGACAGTGCAGTGCCAGAGCCTGCTCATGGCCAAGGCTATGCCAGACTTTCTTTTTCTTTTTTGGTTGCACTGGGGTTTGAACTTAGGGCCTCATGCTTACTTGAGCCACTCCACCAGCCCATTTTTTATGATTTTTTTTTAGATGGGATCTCATGAACTATTTGCCTGGGATGGCTTCAAACCATGATCCTCCTGATCTCTGCCTCTTGAGAAGCTAGAATTATAGGCCTGAGCCACTGGCGCCTGGCTTACACCACTCTTTCTGATAGTTCTGCTCTTTTCTTCCCTCTGTCGAGAGCCATTTGTCTCCTGGAAGAGCTCAGGAAAGGGTGGCATTTCTCCTTTGCCCTCCTCTCCCTTGCTCTGCCGGTCACATTACACGGTATTTGTTTACGTGTCCATCTCCTTTCTCCTGTGAGCTCCACTAGGGCAGGTGTCATGTCCCAAGAAGACAGCACGGGGTCTCCCTCACAGAGGGGCTAATCATGGCTCTAGTCCTGTTTTATAAATAGCAACTGAGCAAATCTGAAGGCTAAGCAATCTCAATAGCTATGCACTCAAGGCTATGCACTATTGATCTTTTACTTTAATTGGCTGAAATGATTAGAAGATAGCCTAAGCTGACCCTTAGCAAAATTGCAATGTTGGTGACATCTATCCCTACCTGAAATGCCCCGGATGTCTTCCTACTTGTGCTTCCTGGACCCTTCACTAGTCCAGGCCACCTGTGACATTTTAGTCACTTCTCCAAAGTCCGTGCCAAGCCTGCCCTTGAGGTTGGAGCACGTATGACAAGTGGATCCAACTTTAAGGGTAAACAGCATTGAAGGCTCTGCTCTGTGATGTGTTCTAGGTGCAGCGGGGAGTTTTGAATGCTTCCTTTCTTAACTTGGCAAACTTAGGGACAGAAAGAGGCATTGACTAGGGCTGCAATGGTCATGGTTTGCTGAGTCAGGCCGTGCTGAGTGCCCACGTTGTGCTGTTGGAATCATCACAACGTTTCTATGAGATAGGCACTATATCGTTCCCATTTTTGGGTCAGGCAACATGGTATGCCTGTGGTTCTGAATCTAACAAATGGTGAAGCTGGAATTCAAACTTCGTTGGCTTCAAGCTTGTGCTTTCAGACACTATTCCAAAGTTCCAACTTTTACAGGTCATATTTCCTAAGATGGAAGGCACGGTCAAAACTTTCATCTGGCCAGGCACTGGTGGCTCACGCCTGTAATCCTAGCTACTCAGGAGGCAGAGGTCAGGAGGAACATGGTTTGAAGCCAGCCTGGATAGTTCACAAGACCCTATCTTGAAAAACCCTATCACAAAAAAGGGCTGGTGGAGTGGCTCAAGGTGAAGGCCCTGAGTTCATGCCCCAGTACCACAAAAACAAAAAAACCTTTCATCTGAATTATTAAAATCTTATTAAAGAATTTCAAATTGAGGAAAATAAGTGGAGGAAACCTTTCTGGACATATGGGCTAATTTGTTGCTTCTAAAATAACATCTCATGTTCTCTGATTTTCTTGGATTTAGCCCTTGGAAAGGAAAGACAATTGGAATGGATCATTTAGAGAGAGCCTCAGGCCTTCGAAGACTGAATCAGCGCTCCAGTGATCCCACCAATTATCCCTTTTGGTTTTTACCAGGAAAAGGCCAGAAGTCCCTCTGACAGGGACTCAATTTTTCCAAACTCCTTTCTTTATACATTAGGGATTTTTATAGCTAGTCCATTTCTAAATAATAATTAACATTTTCTGCTCTATTTCTTGTCGTGTTACCATAAGTGGTCCATTCTCTATTTGCTTTACTCCTTTCCTTCACAATCACCTTTTAAATATGTGGTGTTCCCAGGAATTGTTGTTAGTATTCTCTTTTCAACTACGCTGATGCCTTATGAAAGCTAAGACTACAAGCATTTCACATATAGTGCTTGGATGGCATATCTGAATTGAAGACCCAGCTTTCTAACTTACCTCTCAGGCATTTCTACACAGATATATTATATACAGATTGTCTAATAAAATCTAGGGACACTTAATTATAATTTTCTAAAATAACAAAAGAAAGAAGAAAAATATCAAGCCTATAACCCCAGCTACTTTAGAGGTAGAGATCAGGCAGACTGTGATTTGAGGCCAGCCTGGGCAAAACATTTATAAGACTCTACCTCAGCCAATGATTGGGTACTGTAGCACATGCCTGTCATCCCAGCTATATAGGGAAGCACAAATAGGAGGATTGTGATTCAGGGTAGTCTGGGCATAAAATAAGACTCTATTCTCAAGAATACCAATATCAAAAGGGCTGGCAGAGTGGCTCAAGTGGTAGAGTGCCACCTTGCAAGTGCAAGGCCCTGAGTTCAACCCCCAGTACTGACCAAGAGAAAGAGAGAGAGATTCATTCTACACAATCAAAAGTAACAATGATTCCAAGAAAATCACAGATATGTTTTCCAAGTGCTATAGTAAAATTATTTTAGTATTAGATCTATATAGCCAATAGGAATTTGAATGTAAAGGACAATTCGCTCAGTCAAGTAAAGATTCAAAAATTCAGGTGACAAAGGCCCTTTTTATAGGCACTTCTTCAGAGAGAAGTAAATCTATGAACACATGCTGAGGTTTATGAAAAAGAAGTTGAATAAATAACATGATGAAATTTACTGTTTTCTGATCAAAAAATTAATCTCTCCATGTTATACAATATTTCCCAGGCTCTGTTGTGATAATAAATTAACCTCCATTCAGTGGCTTAATTTATTAAGTCTGTTTTTTTTAAACACAGTACACGTATATATCATAATACCATCAAAATGGAAAATATTCATTCTTTTTGAGCACAAATAGAAATTCTAAAATGTCAAGAAAATACTACACCACAAATATTTAATAAATATTTAAAATTCCACATGGTATAATGACTAAGTTAAAACACCAGAATGCAGTCAATTTAGAGCTAAATATAACAAAGTGAAAATAAAAAATCCATATATCTGAAAGCTTAAAAACAAAACACAACTAATTCCTAGCTAACCATATAGTGCATGCCTGTAATCTCAGTACTCAGGAGGCAGAGGCAGGTGGATCATGAGATCAAGGTCATTTTGGGCTCCATAGTGAGCTCAAGGCCAGCCTGCGATACACAGCAAGTCCCTGTCTCAAAAACAAAACAAAACAAAACAAAAACTTGCTTACAAACAAGAAAAATCACATTTCAGCTTCTTAACATTTCAAAGAAGAAAATCAAGATATATATGAGTATTACTGATGTGTTTGTCTTTATAAATCCAATATTGTTTCTTCATTCTCTAGTCTTGGTATTTTAACTATAATGTGGCAGTTTACCTAGTAAA